GGCTCACCTCTCAAATGGTGTTGAGAGAGACTGGGGCTTTGAAGACGTGTCTCTTTTCAACGGTGAGGTTGTTGAAGACGAAGGCGAAGGGGAGGGACCCGATACCGATCAAGGTCCAGTTGGACTGATGATCGATTTGCCGATGCAAGTGACTGAAATTTCCCCTCGTCTATGAGGATGACACGCAGTTGCACACATGTGATGTACTCTCCGTAACCTTGTCGTCACACGACATCGTGCACGTCGTCTGGGCTTTATGGACCGCACAACATGCGCCCAGTGTTTATCAATGGGGTAGTCTGGAGTGGAGGACGGCACGTTTCCGAAAGCAATGTCTAAGCGCACACAGACCTGGCCAAAGTTAGGTCAGAACTCCACAGCCGCGGCAACTGAATTCATCTGAGAAATCACGCTTGTTGACAGAAGAAGACTCGTTTCAACGCTTTGAACTCACACTGCGCCTCGCATTCATTGACATGGGCACAAACCGAGAGGAGGGGTCCTTTGGTTTTTACCCCTGCTGTCTGATGCGTCCTGTGCCTTCTTCACTCCACCATTACACGAGCGCACTTAAATGTTTGAGGATCAAATCAGAAACGCGTCATCAAGATAACACGGGGACATACACGATTCCGCCTGGTTTATATGCTCTTCCACCGCGCGAACTGATTCCCATGCAAACCTTTCACAGTACCTCACAGTGACAACTGGTATCGGTCAGCCCCATGACTTGGTTCATGGATAATGATACAGTACTGGGCGAGCACGCTCTCTCAGCTCTTGTGAACCGATTCAGGAAATCACAGCGAGCGTGTTCCTGATAAGTGCAGGAACATGTAGGATGACGACGGAGATAAAGATGATCGGAGATTGACGAATTGTGGCGGCGAGGAAAGAGTGGTGGACATAAGCTGCAGCGATGGCCAAGAGAGGTCGGTGAAAATTGAGAGATTCCTGGCACTGTATGATGCTGAATTTGTCGAGCAAACACGTGGAAGGTCGGGCGAAGGGGGAGAGAAACATCGAATCAAGGAAGTGACGTTCATTTAGGTGAAGGCACAACACTGGATGTGAGGGGGACCGCAGAGGTGGAGGACGAAGGAGGCGCACGTCCGCGCGCGGTCAGGGATGGGAGGAAGCGAGCTGCGAAACGCTGTGGAACACAGATAAGGGGGCGCCTCATACGCTCGCCCGATGGGCGTGATGGCTAAGTGCGGGGAAATGCCGCAGAAGACAGGTTCCGGGATATGCGCACCAAGAAGATATGTCTCATGGGCCTGCCTCGACGATGTTCGCACCCGGTACTGCGTAAATCGAGTAGAGGATAGAAGTGATCAGGAGAGCTTATCTGGACCACGCGTGCTGAAGTTACACCATATCGTCTGTGCATCGTGTTTGTGACTCACAGGTTCCCTGGAGGCATGTCAGGATCCGTCCATCGTCCGCCATTTCCAGAACAGGAGCAACGCACCGCATCGAACCACATGACCTCCATTTCACCTACTGGTCCATGCAGATGAGAACCATGAATCTGCACCTACGTGAAGGACATCAAAGTGCTCTGTCACGCCATCACCGAGCGCATCTGCGGCCTTGTGTCGCGGTTTGGACAAGGGCATGGACTTTCCATCGATAGCCTGGACAGCCGAGCATACCCGCTTCGTACCTTCAAACCGATCTAGATGGTGGAGTGAGGACCATAGTGGGCGACTTCGAGTGAAAGCTGACCTGGCATTTATGGATTGAGGCAATGGCCTGGATTGGACATCGACGAAGATACGAAAATAATCAGCATGGAAACATTCTTCTAAAAATAATCAAGAGCTTACCCCCAATTCCATTTGGCATAGGACCCAATCTCCGCATTGTTCGCTGTGATGTAATGAGAAATAATTTGCTCTTCCTTATCAGCATTGATGACGGTTTCGATGAGACAGCGTACAAGATTGCTGACCCATGCACCGTCCTTGCTCCCTTTGAGAGTTAGCTCAGGTAGGAGCCTCGTAACTCCTGATGCCAGCTAATAGCCAAGACGAGCAGCCAGATCCGCAGTATTTCGAGGATTGCCCATGAATGACAGTAGAGGATGGTGGCGCCGGAGTTTGTTGAGGTTAACTGAGACGCTGCAGATCCAAATACCCCGCGACTAGTCCTGGCTGCAACAAAAAGAACAATGCTGATCCCATTTGTCAGCGCTGATATCTGCTACCGGAAAGGAGAGATGGATTGTCCTTGCTGAACTACGATTCGTCGTGGGCCATATGGATGTAAGAACCGTAGGCCACACGCCGAGTGATCGTAAGGACCGCATCAATAACCGCTATGCCGATAAACGAAGGAGGGGGAAGATTGAGATCACGTGGATTGGATTGTACAGGCTGCCTGGCAAAAATTCGAGGATGGGATGGTTGAAATCCAGTTTTGAGTGATTGCCACAGGCGATGGCACTTGAATCGCAGTGCGTCGTCACAATCGTCGTAATGAATGTCAGAGAATTATAGACCAGCATCAACCGGGAGCTCGTTGCAGAATACCTGCTTCGTGTCACAAAGTGCTCGACTCCGAGAGACATGAAATTGGCCCACCTGATTTATCGAAATAGCGGTATCAGTAGCATCTTGTCGATCCGGACGATCTGGAACTATCGTTAGAAGTCGGATGGAAGAGGATGACTTGCTTCGCGCCGCACACCCTCTGATCGTCACACCGAGAATGTCCATCCGTGGTGAGTTTAGAGCGAGCACTGCTGTCGAAACAAACACAACATCCACCCTGAGTGCGATTGCATACATATTGGTTCGGACGCGAGGTTTCAAACAGCGAATGTCGAAAAAACTGAAGAAGGATACCAACACGTCAGCATAGTCTTCTTCGTTGAAGCGAAAAAAAGATGCTCAGCTCTTTTCCCAGCTGATGCCTCCAGTCCTAACTGTCATGATTCTCTATAGAAGCACACGCCGATTGACGGCGCGTACCTGACAGCATAGAGGGGAGAGTCATGTATGGGACTTGCAGTGGATGTCAGCGCAGAGGAAGCTGTTCCTTCACATCGATGACGAGGTTGCATTTGAGTCTAGGTAATATCATAAGCGTGACTGGACCCATGTGAACGTTTCGACCGTGCTGCACTTATTGCCATGTCACTGGCAATTGGCGGTGTGAGGATCTAAAGCAGGTCAGTGACGTCATTCATACATGCTGATTTTATTACTCAGCAAACCTTCGTCGATGATTGTCCTTGCTATCGTGTAATAGCCGTCCAGTCCACGGTTGTGGCGCCGAAGAGATCCGCGACCGCCGTGATGATATTATTGGTGAACTGCACATTGCTGAGAAGGATAGAACCCTTTTGTGGGGCCCATTGTCCTGGAAACCAGCATGGCGACGATATATTCACCACCAACGGGCTGAGCAGCAGAGCTTCCATCGGTCGTCATTCCAAACCATCTAAATGAATACAAAAGTGCAGTGAAAACCATGACGTACAAGCATAGGTGAATGGCTGACCTCGGTTGTTGACTGTGACATGTGTGGTAATGTCCATCTATCGAGGACGACCAGCATGAGAACGTTTCGACAAGGATCCTTACCCGCTTTCTCATCAGACATGGTCCCCGATCTCCCCATTGTTGACTGTGATGTTTGGAGGAGTTATCGGGGAGGGGGGCTCGGCGAGATGCGAACCTGAATGCGAACCCGTATATCACACTCAGCCCTTCTGAGAATCACATCAGGCATGAACATCCTGGTCCTCGATGTCAGCCAATAGCTAAGCGGTGACGTACCCATACCTTTGAAAGGCTTGGATATCAATGCTGAGAGAGCACGCCGCTGCTCGCGATGCAGATGTTGCGGATCGACCTGCACGGTGAGATGTCCTAGGTGAGAGAAGCAAATCCAACTTCGCAGATCCTATCTGCCAGTGGTGACATCTGCGGCCGCAAGAAGCGGATTGTACTCACTGATGCACCGATCGTCGTGGTAGGGATGGCAACGGTCCAGTCCGGTCCGGTCCTGTCCTGGACGGTCCCGGATTTTTGGCGATAGTCGGTCCCGGTCCTGTCCTGTGATGGTCCGATCCTGGACGGTCCCAGGACCGTGAACCGCCAGTCCCACTCCAGTCCACTAAATGCTGACATAATTCTATTTAATAGTCAATGTGGGGTCATGGCATTGAGCGGGAGGAAGCACACGCGAGATTCATCATGCACCTGAAACGACATGCCAGTCAGTCAGATGATATGCCGACCTCTTCCAACACCATGACATGACCGGTCACCATCCCTGCAACGCCAAAACTGTCAAACTCTGCACCCAATTGCATGGCGAAATGGTGGCTGCGTGGGACCGGACTGGACCGGTCCTTCGCAGTTCAGGACTGAACCGGATTTTCCAAAAGTGTTGGTCCTGGTCCAGTCCTCGGACGGTCCAGTCCTGGACTGGATCGGCAGGACCGCAGTCCTCAAAGCCCGGTCTAGGACCGATGCCATCCCTACGTCGTGGTCCATAGGGATCTAACAACCACAAGCAACACAGCATATGGCAATGGAAAGAGACGATCCGCTACCTATGACGATGGAGGGGTAAGCGAAGGAGGGGCGAGGAATGTCACCATAGGGATAGGATATTTGGAGTGCGGGTACTGCGTAAGCTTCTGTACAGATCTGGAATGCAGGATGAGGTGATGGCTGGCGGCGGTGAATGTACATACTGCTTGGGAACGATTCAATAGGAGGTATGGTGTGATGGTGTACTTCACACACAACCAGTCTTACATCAATCGCCTTTGTCCACCGCGCATTGATTGTATGCATGCTGCGTCACTGTCGTCATCTTGAATCCCGGAATACTGTAGATATCTGTATCAATCGCTGCTTCGTTGCCAACCGCTTGCTTGGAGACGAAGATCGCTCGTCTAGTACGCCCAAAACGTGCCATCGGTAAAATTCTTGATGCCGATCTGGACGGTCTGGGGAATGACGTTAGAAATGTGGTAGCCGAGGATGACCCAGTTCATATCTCGCACCGCGGAGTGTCGGTCTTGCGTGGGTTTAGGATGGGCAATAATGTCGATTTACACCTAGTATTCACCACAATTTCGACTCCTGCGTGATGTTGTTGTGCGTGTGTTGTCGACAGCGATGGTGCGATCAGTTAAGTGCTGCAGGCAAGGTTCAGGATCATTCAAACCCCGAGGCAAAGACATGGTCCTCTATCAGAGCAGGTGTCCGTCTCCATCGAAAACAAGAGCCGACAATGGTTTCACCTTGCAGATGCTCAGCGTTGATATCACTGAATACCCTATGCCCTTACCGTTGCGAGTTCTCAATACACGCACCCCTTGATGGCTCGTGTTTGACCTAGGAGACAAGTTGACAATGGCATTGAGGATCGAGGGTACGCTTGAGGCTTCCAGTGGATGTCGGCAGAGTACTGCGGATCGATGATTGGGTTGAGATCTGGGTTATATCATCAGGGCGCGTACTCCACAGTCATTACACCTGCACTAGGGCACAAAACCGCTCTAGGCCAGGGGAGAGAGCCAGACATACGCGAATGCTTTAAGCATCGCGAACGTGGTGACGTGCCACCAGCCATTGACGGTGTAAGGATCTACAGCGGGTCAATGACGCCGTTCCTACAAATTACCGTCCAGCATACCTTCGTCGATGATTGCCATTGATACCACGTCGTCTAGCTGGATCATGTCAGCTGCCTGCACCCGACTGAGTGCTGAGCATGCACATATTGCGTCTGGACTGGTCTGTGCTTCCACGTTCTGAAGGTCTGCGAAAATCCGATGAGAACACAGAGACGTGACATTGAGTCACAGACGGGACTCCCAGAGTGAACGTCGGATAATTGAAAGTGTGATCTTCTCTTGACTCGTACCTGGGAAGCAATGAGAAATGAAATGTTAGGCAGTAGCTCCTAAATCAGGGTGTCATCTATCGGAAGTCCCGAAACTCACTATGGTGTTTGGAAGAAATTGCCGCAAGAGTGGGCAGTTAGACATCGGAGCTTGGCAACGGTAAGCATCAGCACCCTGGACAGTTGACCGGTCAATGATTTGGTCGGCTGTGATGGACCTCGATCAATTTTATTCCGCGGCGTTGGGGATGTGCAGGAACGGCGGGTAAATCAAAAGAGGAATGCCGAAGGAGACAGAGAGATAGCATCGTTGCGGAGTTCTTGAAATATACATGGTTTATTCCATACGCGCCTACTAACAGAAAGTCAGTGAAGAGCGCGGTTCGGAGTTGTAAGTTGATGAGGACCTACTTTCAAATCCACGTCGACAGCCTCCCGCTTTTCGGTTAGGCATATCTCCCTAACGTCATTGTGACCATCGGCATACCGCGTTGTCGATACCACACTAGATCGATATTCAGCATCTGCAGCTTTCCGACGACCTACGAACATGTGACACGAACACGGATGGATGAATTCAGTCCCTTACAAACAGGGCATCGACGCGAGAGTCTTGATCGTGTGCCGATATCCTCATTACCCACGAGCAACCGTCCCATGATCGCTTCGATAGAGTCAGTTAGCGTTCACGAATCTGTCCGAAAAGGGATGAACTCAATATGAAGTCCAGATCCCATCCAGGTGCGACTGAGCCCACACCACACATAACAGCGCTGCACATACTGGAGTCGAAATTTCACATTCTGATGGCCGAGGCTGCTGTTCGTGCGCGCAGAGAACATTCGTCAGCGGGAAGGTAGCAGCAGAGTACAGAAGGACCTGAGCGACAGTCTGAACGGCGATGCGGCCGTTTAGCTGCCCCACGTCAGCGCTTGCCTGTCCCTTCCTGTCATACGATCCACCCTGCAGACAGTCAGTCCGATGTCCGACATCCGTAAGAAGCTATCCACTCACTGACAAATCGCGCCAGGACCTTCATCGGAGATGTGGCCTACAATCCTGAGCTCATCGATGCGCACAGCTCCATGTTATAAACTGATTATTCTTTCCGGAGCAATGCGTACAATAGATGTATCTGAATAAATGCGATTGCTGATCAGCGCGGAAGGTGCGAAGCTAGGAGAGAAACGAGCCTAACTAACTGGAGATTCGAATATCCGCTGCTCAGGCGAGACGGCGAGAGCAAAGTCCAATGCACCAGTTGTTTCACATGGTTATATGGAGAGAATGTCTACTTCATTCGTCAGCGAGTGTGTTGCATCGTTTCCCTTGCGAGTTCGATTGCATCGGGCCCGAGCCGATCATCGTGCTGTCCAACCGAGGTAGAGATCGTCTCAATGTTGCTGTCGTCTGTCTATGCGTGACGAAAGGGCACAATAAAATCGAGGAGGCGGATCGACGGATGAGCGATCGGGACATCTCTCGGAAACGCGGGGACTCACTTGGTTACTAGGTTCGGTTGACCATAGGTGTTGCTAGTGGAGGGGAAGGACCTCGGTATCGGTGGGCTCTGGGGTGTTCGATCAGTTCATTAACGTGTGAGTATGACGTGGGCAGAGATATGTGGGGCCGTGTCAAGGTACGCGCCTCAACTATTTGAGCTAGGACAGTCACCCCTGTAGCGTGCCGGGTCGATTATGTGTTTAGGTAGAGGGAGTGGACGGGGGAGTAACCCAGTTCACAGAGTCGGCTGTGTTCATCTACCGTTAGTATATCACGGAAGGATGATGAGGGAGATGGAAACCATACTCAGCGACAAGGGCAAGGGGGGAGGGGTTACGTGGACGAAGGGGAGAAAGGGTTGTAAACAACACAGGCAACCAAACACGGCCATATATATGCACGCGATTTGGAATGCATCGAGTTGAATCACCCCAGACAGTAAATAGTCGCCTTCGACAAAAAAGTGACCACAGATAGATACAGGCGAATTCGGAATGCCTAGTTGCATCGTCTCAGACAGCATAGCGAGCGCCGATCACGTCTTGGCATAACTTGTGCATGATATATCGCATACACGCACACCGTTACGCACAGGTGGCCGAGGAGGCACCGATAGATTCATAGCGCTAGGCGGGATTCAGATCAAAGTTCACCAGGTTTCGGCAGCAGCAGTGACACTGGTGAAGAGTCTGGAAAGCACACGTTCGATGGGATCCATGTGACAGACATACGAACGAGAACGAGAATTGTAGCAGCATAGATAGATTTCGTTGGACAGATACTCGATAAAAGCAATAGAATACATCGACCCATTTTTGAAAAATGTCGACGACGACAAGAATAGACGCCCAACAGCGTGGTCGGCCCCTCACGAAGCATCGCGCAGCCACATAAC